TCAGGAATATTGAACCAGGGGGTCCAATTCTATGGGCCCCCAAACAGGTTGCCCCCATCCCCTCCATTGTTCTCTATGGTGGGGAAAAAGTTACTTTTCCCCACCATAGAGAACAATCGAGGGGATAGGGCCAACCTGTATGGGGGCCCGTAGAATTGGACCCCCTGGTCCAAAGTTCTTCAAACTAGGTCAGTATCTTGGGGAACAGAAAAAGATGCAGCTCAAAACCATATTCAAATACCCCGGGCCAGCGCTGTACTGAATGCAAAGTCACCCCTGAATGGCCATAAAATGACTATACATCTATGCAGTACTATAAAACCAGAGATCAAACAAAGTGAAAGCGGCATGCAGTCTGGACACTGCCATAAAATCCGACAATCAACCAAAGTGAAAGTGGCATGCAATGTAGAGGGGAATTTCTGTTCCAGCATGGGTTTGGTAAAATAGCGGAGCAAATGCTAGATGTAGATTGGGCCCTTGATAGGTGATTGGCCCAGTACATAGCATCACTTCTTCTAAGCTGATGCCCTCCTGGCTGTAAGCAGAGCCATCGATGAGGCAGGGATATGCAAGGAAGTCTAGACATGGTGAGCAGAGTGCTGATCTGGAAGTAAAAGGAAGAGGAAGAAGAAGAGTTGGATTTATACCCTGCCCTTCATTTACAATCTCCTTCCCATCCTCTCCCTACAATAGACACTCTGAGAGAACAGCTCTGAGAGAACTGTGACTGGCCCAAGGTCACCCAGCTGGCTGCATGTGGAGGAGTGTGTAATCAAACCTGATTCTCCAGATTAGAGTCCACTGCTCTTAACCACACCATGCTGGCTCTCCAAACTGGAAGACCCAGGAGGACTCTGCTGTGGAACTTAGCTGTGTGACCCTAAGGTCAGTCACTCCTGCGTTTAAGAGACTGAAGTTGAGTCACCATTCTTTATTTGCAATACTGATACTTAGAAAGCTCTATATCTCATGCATCTCAGCATTCAAGGGACTCTGCCTTACTCATGTCATTCTGCAGGGCATAGTTCCCAGAGTGTGTGGGATGGCCCTAATCTTATTGGGGGGGGGGGGTCACGAACAGGTATCTCCAGTTTCTTTACCAACATTTCTCTTGGGGGCACGGCACTATGAAGCAGTTAGTGCAACCCCCCCAGCTTTAAACCAGGTCCCCTGTAGGGCAGAGTCTCCTGAATGCAGGGATGTATGATTTGTGCTTATTTGTGGGGTTGGTAGAGCTTTCTCAGTATCCTTAATGTTTGCGGTTGGATTCACAAATAAGGAACTAGGAAGTGCAAATAAGCAACTGGGAAACAGCCTCCCTCCCTTAGCCTAAATTTCCTCACGGGATGGTGGTTGTGACGATAAAACGGAGACGGTCAGAATGCTGTTGTAAGCAATGCTCCCTCTAAGCTATGGAGTCTTGTGAGCAAAAATTCTACTGGCATTAAAGTGAGTGAGCGATTTGGCTACTGCATAAATTAGTTCGCTCTGGAGCCGTCCTTCCTGAGCTAAGGCAAAAATGTGTGAGCCGGAGGCTAAAAAACTGTGAGCCAGCTCACACTAACTCAGCTTAGAGGAAACACTGGCTGTAAGTTGCTTTGGGTCCCCGTTGGGGAGAGCAGCAGCATACAAATGACTTGGAAATGACAAAAAAGGCCCCTTCACCCCCACCCCATGTTCACCACCTGAGTCCAAGGAGATAAGGTTGAAGAGAAATAGTTTCAATAAATAGATATGGCCTTGAGAAATGCCAAACCAAAGGTCCTCCAGTAGTGGTGGAAAGTGTGTGGGGGAGGCTGGGTCACTCCACGAGCTGCTCAAAGGCTCTGACCAGTGTGAAGCTAAAAGAGTCCTCCGGGGGGAATTGATTAGGAGAAAGGGGAAGAATTCCAGTCGACCCTAATTAGTCATAGTCCCACTCAAAGAAGTCTTCATCTGCAGACCGAGGGGTTTGTAGAGTATCTTCGAATGGGGGGGGGTTGAAATCAGAGTTGGGGGAGGTGTGTCCAACTTGCTCCCTGTTCCCCAAGCTCTCCCACAACCCACAGGGAGAGTTTCATCAAATCCCCACTCCTGTTGCTTATATTTGGGACCAAGCGAGGAGCAGTTTTCCGCAAAGATTGCACTGGCGAATCTGCAGTTGCAAACCGATGCCTATTTGCTTGGAATCAGTTCCATTGAAGAGAAGGAGATCTCTGTTGATGGCCCAGGCCAGCCTGATCTCCTCAGATCTTGGAAGCTAAGCAGGATTTGGACGGGAGCTCTCCAAGGAATACCAGTAGGGTAGTAATGTGGAGGCAGGGCCATGGCAAAGCACCTCTGAAGGTCTCTTGCCCCGAAAACCCATAAATCAGCTGTGACAGCAAGGGGAAAAAAGTAAACGTTGAAAAGATCGGGATGGACAGAGGAGAGGAATTCCCATTTTCTAACATGGCAGCTACTTACACACAACTTGGCCAGGAAAAAAAAGTAACACGGTGTGTTTCTAGAACAAAGTTAGAGTCCAATGGCACCTTTAAGACCAACAAAGTTTTATTCAAGGTGTGAGCTTTCATGTGTCCTCATTGGGGTTTCTGAGCATGTTCAGAGTACTCTATTCTTTCTCAACACTATACGCATCAGAAAGGAATTAATCCATCTTGGATTTTTACCTGGTGAAACTGGAAAACGTGCAAATGTCTCCTACAAGATGCTCAGTGTTTACTAAACAAACATCTTATATCCTTCACAGCTGAAAGAGCTTAATACTTCAAAACGCGTCCGGTTTTCTAAAACTGCTGACTACGGAACGACTTGTCACTGGGTTATCTTCAGCGCTGCTGGACTTCTGCCTTCAGTTTCGGCGTCACAAGCATCGGACTATTCCGTCCACAGTTAGGGTTGCCAGCTTTTTCTGGCAAAGGTCTTGTGCGTTTAAGAGCGGACTGAAAGCTAGGGGGAAAACTTCCCACGTCACATCATTTCCCTTGGAGCAAACCAGGCAGGTGTTAAAGGCACGGGAGCAGGGGAGGGAAGCAACACAGTTTCTCTTTTAAGTCTCATAAAAAGATATCAGGTTACCTAGTTTTTTAATCTCCTTCAGGGTTCGGCGCTTCCCCCTGTGACACTCCTTTTTTTAGAAAAATAAAACTTGTGTCTAATTCAAGGCATTCAAATAGAAAGAGTTGAAATCCCAAGTCAGTGTGGACCAGACCGAAATCAATCAGCCAGGCCCAAATCAATGGCACCGGCCTTAAATCCAAGGTGGTTTGTGGGGAATCGAAGGCCCAGAAGAAACCAACTGGGGGCATAATAACTTCGAATAAAGCGCACCACCGTAGGCATGACTACTCTGAATATTAAAAAGGTAAAGGCTCCCTTGCTCGAAAGTCAGTTGAATCCGACTCTAGGGTTGCAGTGCTCATCTCCGTTTCAAAGCCAAAGAGCCCGCGCTGTCCGAAGACATTTCCGTGGTCATGTGGCCGGCATGACTAAACACCAAGGCGCATGGAACGCTGTTACCTTCCCACCGAAGTGGTACCAATTTATCTACTTGCAATTTCTTGCTTTCGAACTGCTAGGTTGGCAGGAGCTGGAACTAGAGATGGGAGCTCACTCCGTCATGCGGCAACTCGGGTCTCAAACTGCTGAACTACCGACCTTCCACAGCCTGCAGTTCAGCGTCTACTGTTTTATCAGTCTGACCTGGATGGCCCAAGCTAGCCAGGTCTCCTCAGCTCAGGGAAGCCAAATAGGTAGGGTTGCCAGCCTCCAGGTGGGGCCTGGGGATCTCCTGCTTTTACAACTGAGCTCCAGCTGACAGAGATCAGCTCCCCTGGAGAAAATGGCTGCTTTGGAGGGTGGACTCTATGGCATTCTATCATGCTGAGGCCCCTCCCCAAACCCCGCCCTCTCCCAGCTCCACCCCCAAGGTAAAGGTTTCCCTTGCTCGAAAGGCAGTTCCGACTCTAGGGTTGCGGTGCTCATCTCCGTTTCAAAGCCGAAGAGCCAGTGCTGTCCGAAGACGTCCACCCTCTCCACCCTCTCACTCTGTAGAGTTCATCAGCAGTACTTTGCCATTGGCTGTGACAAAAATCCCGTTCATATAGGAACAATCACTTATCGCTGCGAGACCCACCCCCTCTTTCTTATATGTCATCCAAGATTCCTTGCCACTTTGCTGGCTAAAGTCACTTCCCTGGAAAAGACTGACCTACACAGAAATACAAACTCAAATTGCATTTGACTCTTTCGGGTTGAAAATATACTGGTGGTGGCCTTGACCTGGATAGCCTGATCTTGTCAGATCTCTAGGCAGGGCTGGCCCTGATTAGTATTTGGATGGGAGACCTCCAAGGAAGACCAGGGGTGTGACACGGGGGCAGGGAATGGCAAACCGCCTCTGAACGTCTCTTGCCTTGAAAACCCTTCTGGGCCGCCATAACTCAGCTCCGACTTGACTATAAAAGATAAGAATAATAAAATGTCTCTCCAGAAAAGCGTGCATAGAATGGCACCCTCACAGTACAAGAGCCAATGCACGTTTACTCAGAAGTAACTCGCCGGTCGCCTAGGATCGCGCGGTGTTGCAGTAGAAGCAAACAGGACGAGATATCCCGGAACCCTCCGCTAGAGGGCAAAGTGCGCCCCCCCCCC